TCCAGATTGGCCTGTTCAACTTACCCACCTTTTGACGACCATCTGAGCAAAGTGCCTCCATGTTCATCTTTCGCATATCCTCTACTTAGTTTTCTTTACACTGCATTTTTTTGTAACAGACATATGGATTCAATTCTCACAACCAATGTTTTAAAAACCAACCCAGAGACCAAACTGTTTTTGCTTCTTAGTAGTAGGTTACCGGTTTGATCAGTCAAATCAAACATTTCAGACCATGCCACGTCAGTGTATATATGTATATAAATATATATTTTATCAATAAATAATGTATAAATATGTTTTAGATATATGTGCTATTGTATATTTAATATATGTTTTCATAAAAGATTGCAATTTGAGGTTAAAAAGGGGGCTTTTTCACAAAAATAGCAAAGCAAGACGTCTACAACCCTTGGGATGCATAGATCTTGAAAAGTTACCAAAAAAAAAAAACACCGCAATTGGACATCAGAGTGCAAAATTATGGCCTCCAAAAGTTTGCATGTATTTAGTGTGCAACCCGAGACTCGTTCACTAGGTCAAATTGGTCGAGTCGAATAGTTCTTGACCAAGCCAACAATTTTTATCATTTGATGAGTTTTAATTAAACGGACCCAAAATCCTGACCAGACGGTTCGACTGACCAAGTCAACAACGGGTAGTAAACATTGCTCACAACCACCGGTTATTCAGTGGCCGGGGATTCGAAGTCTGAACATATCACCAAAATACCAAAAAACAATGTTTTTATTCATTTTATTTTTTTTTACAAGAAAAGAGAGCTTATTCTATTTTTTTTTCTCTTTCCTATGAATATCCCCATCATCGTCATATCTATAATTGGAGAGATTCCATTTGATCAAATTTAGCTGATAATATAAGTAGGCTGTGTTGTTGGCCGAGTAGTCCGAGGTCCGAAGTGGCTGAGGGCTGGTAGGCCCACCCTCCAAGGAGTGAAGAAAGGAAAATGGTTGAGGCCCCAGGTTGGTACTTGAGGCGGAAACTTCGATGCTTAAGTTAGTAAAAATGCGGTGCAAGGTGGACGAGGCCCGAGGTGTGAACACTCAGACGAGACTACAAAGGAGACATAGAATTCTCAAGTACTTGTTTTCGAGTCTAAGTTCCAATCATTTACCTTGAAGGGATTGCCTTTTATTTATACTTGAAGCCGCATGGAGGTAGATGAGCTCAGACAGTCCAGATGCGGTCCGTACGCAAGGGGCATGATCATCCGATGTCACCAGGTGACTCCACGCGTCATTAATCCCGGTTCCATGCGCATCCTGATTCGGCCCACTCTAAACGCCGCTGCCAAACGCGTGCGGCCATATGCGCCTACATCAGGTTGCATCTATATTCTATTAAATCTGAACTTGATCTTTGAAAAGCCATAAAATTGTGAGAACAGTTAGTTCAGATATATGAATATTTTGAATCGTTGAAGGAAATGCTGATGAATATTGATGACAATAAAAAGTCTCAATAGGGGCTTGAACTCGGCTCGGACTTGACCGGTGGGGTTGAGCACAATCTCAGGACTCGACCGGGCTCAATTTGCACCCTTACCATTTCTACAAAACCTTTTTTATTTATTTATTTTTTCTGATAGACATTGGAAGACATCAACAAGACCTAACAGATCCTCGATCCAGTAGATCCTCCATCCTAATTTTCTCAATCATCGGTCTGGATCGTTCTAGAGCCCAATCAGGTTGATCCTCACACCCAAGCTCTGCAAGAGCGTCTATCAGCATGTCAGCTTCTAAGAAGGTGTGCTTGAAGATGAAGTTATTCTGCTCGGATCGGGTCGCCTCACCTCCTTTGATATCGAAAATGATGCTGCTTCAAGACCAAGGTGGAATAGTATGCATCGAATAGTGATTACAGAATCACCTTCTCGCACTGCAGACTCATCGTACCACGAATTGCTTCCCTCGCCACCCATGTCTATGCAGTATTGATGGAGTTGGTTTTTTTTTTCCTATTGATTTGAAAGAAAGCTTCAGAGTTGTGTCATAATAATCCCTAACAACCCAAGCAATTATTGGATTTGAGGGAAAAGGGACCAACCAACTAGGATATGATATCTGGGGCCATTACTTCCCCTTCCATAATTAGGCTTTCACCATACATACATCTGTAGTTCTAAAGGTAACGTCTTATGATCCATTATTAATTGTAGAGTTTTTAATTTGTATAATTACTAGTTGATTTTGTTTTGTTTTGGAAACCGATGAAGGGAAATTTGGCCCGACCTCGCAATCACCCGACATGTGGCAAAGGCAAGTAGCTCGGGACAGTAGAGCGCCCGAAGCGAACATCGGAAGCAAGTCCAAGCTCACTACCGAGCCCGAACTCCAGACCGTTGTACTGAGTCCGAGCTCCCTATTAAGAGCGAGCTCCCTATTAAGGGTCCGAGCTCCCTAAGTAAGAACTCGAGCTCCCTGTTAAGAGCGAGCTCCCTGTTAAGGGTCCGAGCTCCCCAAGTGAGGACCCGAGCTCCCTAAAGTCTGAGTTCCCTATTAAGAGCAAGCTCCCTACTGGGAGTCCGAGCTCCCTA